CAATTTTATTTGCAATTTTAGACTTGTTAGTTAAAAAGTTGAAGTATATTGTGGAACACAAAAATACTCAGGGCTTGGCATGACCAGCCGATTGGTTGAACCGGGCCCATTCAACCACCGGTCTAGGTGAAGTAAGGGGCGAAGTGGTGTGTTGGGCAAAGGAACGCTGTTCCTGGAACCAGTGCCCTCAACCACCAGACGTCCTGCCCCGACACAGGGGCGCAACCCACGGCAATCGGGTCCGGGTCCGGGTCCACAACGGGGGGTTGAAGAGCGCTTAGCGTTACCCAGCACCCACCACGAGGAGGTAGCTCTTCACGCGTGCCGAAACATGTTCAGCGTCACCAGACTACATAATTGGTATCGCTGTGAAAGAAGTATAGTTTCACATGGGTACAATGTACATATTTAGTATGACCATGATACAATGTTTTGTGTCACATAGCTACCTGTTCAGTGTAACCGTGATACACGTTTAGCCCCACATGACAAGTGTCCCATGGAAGCATGCTTAACGTTACAACGAAAATGTTTATTTAGTGTCACCTTGAAGGATTCTCAGTGTCACCTAGCTACATGTTCAGTGTGCCCAGACTACAGGTTTAGTGTCACCCAGATGCATTCTTAGTGTCACATGTATAGTCTCACATGACTTGTGTAACTATCTTATATGCTTAGTTTTATCTAACAAATTTACAATGAAGCTCTATCCATAGCCAAACATGGGATTATTCATACCGATCCTTCAGATTAGCGATCCATTTCATTGATTAACTTCATTTGCAAAACTATGGAAGGCACAGTCAACAAAATAATCATTCAAAACAATAAGTCGAATCACCAAAATTAATGTGGATTTAAAAAAATCGAAGAGTCATTGACCATTTAGTTTGGAGTCATTCTTTAATATTTACAAACAAAACCATACAGTGTCAATCTTTTACAACTGAGAAAAATCTTACGACATTACATGGAAAGGATTTGCATGATCTTACATTGAGCGGTCGCTTGCCTCCATATATTTTCGAGGTTTTAACCAACAGGCAATTTCAAGTCGGTGTTGGTGTATGGTCATTATAAACAGGAGCAAGACAAAGCTTGTTAGTTATTATAGTATAATAAGGCCACTTATGACTCACATTATTTATTATAGTATTATAAGGCCACTTATGACTCACATTATTTATAATAGTATAATAACGCCACTTAAATAGCACGGAACTCCACGCACAAACAAGATAAGTAGGAGATAAACCTACCGTGTGGGAAAATCAGAGGTATAAGCGTTCGGTTTTAAATGAAAAATTTAGAGCTATTATAATTTCGTTATATACCTCTGATTTTCCTACACAGTAGGTATATCTCCATTCTACCATGACAATTTTATGAACAATTTCAGTTAGAACTCTTTCTTTGGTTAGGAGTCAATACGTGAAGCGGCCTCGCATTCCAATCTCAAGTGGCATCGCCCAAAACGGGGTGATTGGTGGCAAACCGTCAATAACTAACAAACTCCAGATTCAGTAATAACAAATAACGTAATGTTTTTTTCAATGCATTAATCACCAATCATTAACTGATAAATTGGAAAACATATATCAAATAAGTTTAAAAAGCTGGGTTCACATTTGAAAATTCCACCGTAGACCCTTTCCCCACCAGAATAATGGCAGCAACCTCATGGCCTTGTCTCGGAAGTCATGTTTACATTTACGTTGCATATTGGAAATTTGGAAAGATGCGACAGGAGAGCCTCTGACAGTTTGCGCAAGGTTTACCTGATTGTATGACTGAGATAGTCTTTGATATCTAATTACTGAATCAAGACTAAGCTAAATCATTTTTTCAACGATATTATGTTTTTAGAAAAAAATATATTGGACTAAACAGAACGGTTTTAAGTGAATTTTGCAGATTCTGTAAATGTGTTTTACTACCGCTAAATTTGAAACCGTACAAATTTCTCAAAAATATATCATTTTGTTTGAATTGATAACCCAACTGTTTATTTATGTGGACGGAAGGCATTAACATTTCTTCGGCGTTCGATGTTAATGCATCCTCCGTTACCGGATCAAAATCAGTGGCGATATCGTCGAAGATTTAAAAAAAGAAAGAAATATAGAGAAAGAAACCTGATACCATCATGATGCCAATATCTTCATTAAAATCTTTTTCCCTACGCAACTAAAATATTCATGTAGGTCAACTATCATGTTCGTAGAAACAATTGTCCCGTGCCTGTTTTCCATGACTTAGTAAAATAAAAAGGTGTACTGTGTCACAAAGCAGCAGTTGTGTTTGTTTGTGTGCATAGTCTGCTGTCTATCTGTCTGTTACCATGTTGGGAATCGAACACGGGTCCTGTCGTGACGCGTTAACCAGTGGGCTACCCTACAGCCTGAAAGCATCGAACCCGGGCCTTCGACGCTATGATTTTAACTCCAGGCTGCACCACGTCCCAGGCGCTATGTCACAATGGCAAATAATCAAATAAATATATTCCTAAGCTGTGGTTCAACATCTGATTTCATAAACTTGAAATTAATTGTGGATGAATTTCAACCAACTACTGGTCATTTCCTATTGGTCTTTGAACACATATTCACTCAAAGGTAATAAATGATTCATAACTTGCTCGTGTATGCTCAGTCACAGCGCACAATTTGGATGTTTTATGTTTGTGTTGGAAGTATGGTGGCTTTCGTGAATAGCACACCGTGTTTGTCACAATGTCACACATTTCCGACAATATTTTAGCCTATATTATATATATGGGCATATCCATTCATTTTAGCTTCCTATTGATGTAATAAAAGACGTATTATCCCTTACGGCTTGCCTGAAATCGCTAATTGAAACTTCGAGGCGAACAGCTTCAAAACAGAGAACTCTTGCCATATATTGAATGTAAGCAATTGCTCCGTACATCGAAAACTGTCGCACGCGGTGTTGTCAATGTTTGCCGAACTGGTTTCAATCACAAGTTAGCTGCATGATATAAGAGCGCTCCAAGGGACATAACTCTATGTGGTTCGCTTGAAATAATTTTCGGCCTGTAGAGGGCTCGAGAGTCGATTTAATGCAACGTTGCAATAATTCATTCGAACTTGTTAACTTAATACTGTAATCTAAATACGTAATGTCGTTTTTGGTAATAAATTATATGGTAACTTCCCTGAGGGCTGATAGTTTGTATTTATGAGAGAAATGCATTATTTATTTCTTGAGAAGTTTGAAATAGTGCCTCTAAGATATCAGCTGCTCATAAGACCACTTCTTTAACTAACACTTATCAATGCCACGTCATGCTAAAAATCGACTCACCGTGGGCCCACTGAGAACAGGAACGGTTGTCAGTATTATGATGCCAAAACTCAATATCGACGTATTTTTTACAACGGCACCCATACAGATCCAGGTTAGAATTGGTATTCAGTAAACCATGCTTGTCGTAATAGGTTAGTAACGGGATTGGGTGGTCAAGCTCGCTGATCATGATTTGGTTAACATGTCATCGTATCCCAAATTGTGAAGATCGATGCTTACGGTTGGTCCACGTTGAAAAGGAGTGGTCCGGCACATTTGTCAAATAGGAGCTCGGGAGCCTCGTAGTTAAAGCGTTCACTCGTCACCCAGAAGACCCGGGTTCGGTTACCCACATGAGTACACAAATTGGTGAAATCCATTTCTGGCGTCCCCTGCCATTATTGGCCAAAGTTAAACAAACCCACATTTTTCAGATTGATAAAGCTTAAACATTAACATACTTCAATATTATTATAGTTATCAGCATTATTTATTTTCAGCTTATCTTTTCACTATGTTCCATGAAACACCATAAAGGAAAGACGACGTCTTTGTAAAAGGCAAATAAACGGTTATGACCTTTAATTTAACGGTATATCGGTAGAAACTGATTTTGTGATATTGACAACATTCACAATTACCATGGTGAACCTGATTCGCAATTTTATATTTTACTCTCACTTTGAATACCAAGGTTGATAATTGAAATACTACTGGGAGCCCAATCATTAAGACTGAACTTTGAGATGATGGCTATTTTATTGCTTTTCTTTTCTTGTCAGAAAGAAACCACATATATAAAACACTTATGCCACAAACAGGTGTAGGGTTAATTATTAATTCACCAATATTCATGCAGATAAGGTAACGGATCGCGAGAATGCTCCATGCATAATACATACAGTTGTAGAGAACGTATATATATGGAACGCAAGTTTTGGCTTCAGCAAAGTTTATAAGGAAAGTGTAAGGTGCCAATCATGCAGTGTAATGTACTCGTGATATTTGTTGTTTATTTCTATCTTAAGTGGAGTGTATGTATCAAATATACAAACTACAAATCTGTGAGGTCTCCCTTAGGCAGGAACGACAAACCCCAGAGTTCAAAGATAATGAGCAGGATATGGTGTGCCATCAGTTGCACTTCCAGGGTCGAGTGCTTCTATTTCTCATACGGCATATACCATGCACGTTGTAAACTGCAGATACGAACAGGAAATAGTATTCCTCCTGAGCGTGCCTCGTTGACTACCATCAACTGGAAAGGTCAGTTATAATTATTATTGTTATCATGTTATTATAAGATGAAAAATGCAGCAGGGAGGGTTTGGGTGATCCCGGTACAGTCAGGCTGGTAAGGCATGTTAAAACATTTTCGAAACTAAAATATAAAACTATTAAAGAACACAAAAGCTATTTTAGGTTTTCATTTCAAACCTCAGAGTCCGGCACATAGTAATCTTGCTGTAAAATGATACAAACAATTGACAATGCAATATGCATGTATCTCCGTGAGAGTGAACATGAGTTATATGGGTTAAAATTGTTAGGTTGAGTGATTGTTTTTGACAGTCTTGTTAATGATTATTTCAGCTAAATGTCCATCTCCACCACGTGTAAGCCATGCAAAGCGTCGGATTATCAAAATAACTGCGCATTACCAGTGCAATAGGAAATTCAAACTATTTGGAAACAACGATATCAATTGTAACGCTTACTGGTCTATGGCTCCAAAGTGTAAGAGGACACACTGGAGAAATCCAAGAATGGTGAGTGGATCTTTTCTTGTGTGAATATTTATATTTCGATTTTTCAAAAAGTCCTGACTTAACTGTGAGTGAGGTAAAATTTTAAGTCATATCGGCAGTATTTCAGCCATATCGTGACTAGATCAAGTTATATATCAAAAACAACTATAGGTAAATTATAAAAACCTGTCAACGAAGGAGAGTAAAACGACTAGTTTATCACATATATAAATTTTAAAACTAGGAATTATATCTAAAACATTGTAACTATACATGTCAAGGCAATATAAAAACAGGCTATAGATCGCCAACAACTGAAGGCAGAACACCATACTATGGACCCTGACTGAACTCTCAAATCCGATCTAAAATACTACTAGGAAACATGGGAGTTGGGGGTTCCCACTTTTTCTGTCTGTTTTAGTTATATACCTATAAGAGCTCTCTCAATAATCCTTTGAAAAATAGCGGATTTGGGTATGGTCTATTTCCCAGACTGAGGTTTAGCTTTGTACTCAGCATATTTCACAGATGTTCTTTTGGTGACCACGTTCTGTGCAATCGTTATGAACATCCATCCATATCCGTTCATCAGTCCATCAGTCCATCGAACCATCCATCCGTTCTCGTAAGGCACTCGTGAAGAGCAACCTCCTCGTGGTCAGTGCTTGTTAACGCCAATCGCTCTTCTCCCGTGTGGAAGTCTCGATGTGGCTGAAATTTTGTTTTTTATAAATGTTCACTCACTCACTCGACTGTTTAAACCAAAGCTGATTCCTGGTGACTGAGGTTAATGATTTTCTTCCCACAAATATAATCACTTCTGACATATCTAAGGTTGTTTCTGGAATTTGTAGGAATGTTAAGAACGTCACCCGTCGCAGTTCACTTCAGGTGGAATATGCAGGGGAGACAGCAATATTTCAGTCTGTTGTCAATCAAGACATTTGCCAGTTTGCTGTGTCTATTCACTGAACATTACATACCTGTCGTAGTATCATTCGTGACAGCTCCTTGTTTGTGTGACGTGTCCGGTGAGAACATTGCAACAGAGCTTAAGGAGCAGGCTGTTACAGCGGTGAAATGTTTTACCATCAAGAGAGGGGGTTCCGTAATAAGCATCAACGCCTATCTCTTGACATTTGTTCAGAATTGACATTGCTACAGAATTAAAGGAACAGGCTGTCACAGCAGTAAAACGTTTTACTGTCAAGAGAGGGTGTCATCACTATCTCTTGACGTGTGCTCGTTGAACCATTCCCTAATCAATCAAAACAGGATACTTTAATATCGGAGTGCAGGTGTATGTCCCCAATTCACTCCGGTGTTACACATGTGAACATTTCGATCATGATCAAATCATGTCGAAACTCTGTGTGTGTGTCACCGTTGTGGAGACCAACATGATGACACACACTGACACAGACTATGAAGCACGTGTTACCGTCAAGAAAGAGTGTATCATAGCAAAAATAAACACCAATCTCTTGACGTTTGCTAAAGCTGGATATTTTAATATCAGACTGGATCTGTATGTTCCTACGGAAGCGTCCTAGTGCCACAGTCTGATTTTTCTCTAATTAGGATCTACTAATTAGTGGGACTTACTATCTCCTAATTGGGATTACTATCTCCCTAATTAGGAGATATATCTCCTAATTAGGAGATACTATCTCCTAATTAGGTGATACTATCTCCTAAGTGGGAGATAGCTAAGTCCTAATTAGGAGATAGTATCTCCTAATTAGGGAGATAGCTAAGTCCCTAATTAGGAGATAGTAACTCCTAATTAGGAGATAGTATCACCTAATTAGGAGATAGTAACTCCTAATTAGGAGATAGTATCACCTAATTAGGAGAAAGTAACTCCTAATTAGGAGATAGTATCTCCTAATTAGGAGATAGCTAAGTCCTAATTAGGAGATAGCTAAGTCCTAATTAGGAGATAGTAACTCCTAATTAGGAGATAGTATCACCTAATTAGGAGATAGCCAAGTCCTAATGGGAGATAGTAAGTCCTAATTAGGAGATTCCAATTAGGAGATTCAGACTGTGGCACTAGGACGCTTCCGTATGTTCCAGTCCACTTTGGTGTTACAAATGCCAAAAAATGTGGTCATGTGTCAAACTGTTGTCATGGCTCTGTGACATGTCATCGATATGGTGAGAGGCACGAAAATACAGACTGTGACAAGGATTATAAGGGCCCTAACTGCCATGGCGAATATGGTGCTAAGTCCTGCCCTGTGTGGCAAAACGAGTGACAAATAGTGAGACTGAAATGTGAGAAAAACATATCCTACCCTGACCCCAAGAAACAGCAGATTATTACAGACCCAACGAGACTTACACCCCATTCCAGGGCCTAGATTTTCGAAGCTCTCTTAGAGCTAAGATAGTCGTAAGTGCCATACATTAACATTTACTTACGACTATCTTAGCGCTAAGAGAGCTTTGAAAATCTAGGCCCAGTATCTTAATTGGTTTAATCTTTCTGTCAAGCGTGAATGAGCGACCACTGTCAGAAGTTTGTAGCTATACTATCCCAAAAAAGAAACGAAAAAGAGCAGGCTGTTACAGCGGTGAAATGTTTTACCATCAAGAGAGGGGGTTCCGTAATAAGCATCAACGCCTATCTCTTGACATTTGTTCAGAATTGACATTGCTACAGAATTAAAGGAACAGGCTGTCACAGCAGTAAAACGTTTTACTGTCAAGAGAGGGTGTCATCACTATAACGAACACCTATCTCTTGACGTGTGCTCGTTCAACCATTCCCCAATCAATCAAAACAGGATACTTTAATATTGGAGTGCAGGTGTATGTCCCCAATCTGAACAGTAACTGTTAACTCTGTCACTGTTCCCATGTATAAGCATAATTTCTATGTATACGCTGCTATTACTTTACATTCTATACATTTATAAATACGTCTCTGTACATTTCTAAATCAATCAACAATTTTGTATAAGTATCTGCACAGTTCTAAATCTTATATATTCATAATAACATGTATTCTATTAGCCATGTCATCTGTATTTATTGACCACCACATGTATTGCGTCGTCATAGCATTGTGACGTCATAAATATTGTGAGTTAACATTTACTGTTCAGTTTTACCTGATGATGGGGCCAGAACAAGCCCTGAAACGTTGTACTCGAGAATAAAAAGAAGATGTAACCCAGAAAAAATCTCTATGTTCATTGATCTACCAGTTCCTACATTCCAATTATCATTTTTAAAAGACAGGCAAACCCCAGGGATGGTGGTGGTGGGTGGGGTTTAGCTTAGGGTTTAGTCTAGTGGTTAAAGCGTTCGCTAGTCACGCCGAAGACCCTGGTTCGATTTCCCACTCGGGTACACTGTGTGAAGCCCGTTTCTGGTCTCCCCAAAGGTGATATTGCTGGAATACAGCTAAAAGCGGCGGAAAACCATACTCACTCACTCATTGACTACTACTATTGCTGACAATTTTAATGTAGACATCCCCCGTGAACACTGACTTGAAGATACATTAGTTTCAACTAATGATTGGGGAAGCAGATTATTACAGACCCAACGAGACTTACACCCCATTCCAGTATCTTAATTGGTTTAATCTTTCTGTCAAGCGTGAATGAATCACAGAGTCAGTCAGGAGTTCTTGACCCTGTTTATAGCGACCACTGTCAGAGGTTTGTAACTATACTAACCCAAAAAAGAAACGAAAAAGAAAGTGAAAAATCGACTTTACTTGAAAATGTTGACTTTCATGAGATTTCTTACAAGAATTAAACAGGCATCGCCACAACGCAACAGAAATAATCACCTTCCAGTTGAAATTGTGGACTGTCTGGCTACAAAAATCCAGATTACTTTCGGAAATCGGCATTCGTTCTGAAGGAGTTTCAAGGTCAAATCACTACGCCACGTCCTGACGCTGCGACACGGAACATCGCCATTGGAAAAATGCACGCTGGAGGGTACCAATTTTATGTTGCCAGGCGTCTGAATGTTAGTCTGTGCACGATATCACGGCTTGCAGCTCGTTAAACCAAACAGGTACAACAAATGACCGTCCCCGTACAGGCAGACCTCGAATCACCACTGTAGCCCAAGATCAGTACATCCGGGTAATACATTTGCGTGATCGTACTGCCACGGGTGAGAGCACAGCAGCCAGAGTGTCTGGACTTCAGAGGATATCCGGTCAAAGTGTACGGAACAGGTTGAGAGAGATTGGACTGACAGCCAGGAGACCCGACGTCGGGACCATGCTACGTGGTCACCATCGCGCTCAACGTCTCCGTTGTCTAAAATTATCCACTTGGTTGTACAGACATTACCTTCTTCTAAACTGATGTAAAAATTCATGTACTAAAGTCTATTTGTGGACGAGTTATACATGTTTGAAAATACAACACTTTCGCAACAGATTTCCGGGTTATGCGTTTCTTTTTGGAATAGTATATCAATGAATAAATTCCTCCAATAGTAAACTTTAAGAGCGGACATAGCCAGCACTATATAACTATCAAGAACATTGTGCATTAAAGTATATTCTTCTCTAAAAATGTAAGCGAGGCCACAAATTAATTTAATCTCAATCAAAGAACATTTGTGATAAACACATACCCAAAACCTATTACAATTACATCAACAGATCTATGGATGACCAGAGGCTCGATCCTTAAAACGTTCCTACCACTATGTCATTCATAAGCTACGATATGTCGTAGAAGTTACGAACCTTTTGTTGATCGGAACCAGTCAAGCAAAACGTTATCGATTACACAACATTGCAAAGAGACGTAATTACTCTACGACGTTGACTAATCTCAGATCATCAAGAAACAAATTTACTTCTGCTGTAAGAATTGTTAGCAGGTGTTCCTCTCTAAACTTTAAGATTCTGTTAATAATACTCAGGGTATTAAAACATGGTATCGACTGACCAAAGAGTCGTTAAAATCGCATAATGATAGTGGTAGGTATACTCGTATTGTCTGCAATGATCCAGAGGAAATGGTTAATATTCTTAATAATATTTGCAGATCAGTCAGCGGTAAGTTATCACGGGGAAACTGCTCGATTGTCAGCTTTTTACTAAATCACTATTAACGAAAATCCTACCCAACATGAGGTTTGACATTTTGTGTTTCATTGGACACAACTACAAAAAAGACTGGCCAAGATGGAATAGGCACTATAGTACTTAAACACACAGCAAATAGTTTAGCACCCATATTCACAAAACTATTTAACTCGTCTCTCCACCAATCCGCAATTTCGGTATGGAAATACCAATTCTTTAGAAAGACAGTGTGAATATAGAACGTCTGGGCAGTAGCCACAGTCTTGAATGTCTACAACATTGTCCTTGGTAGCGATCCACAAAGCGTTCGTAACGTTACGGTGAGATGTAGTGAAATTGGGTTTAACGTCGTGCTTGAGACTATTTCGCTCACAGGACGACGTGCATGCGTGTGTATGGTATGTGCGGCTGCTTGTACTAGCCCAGACTTAAGCTGGTGTTATAGTGCTAGCCCACTGAGATACCATGCCGCAGTTAAGCATGAATACCCCACTCAGACACATTATACTGACTCCGAGCCGACCAGTCCTTGTTGTACCCATTAATGCCGAGCTCTAGGCAGGGACCAACAAGTACCATATTTTAACGTCTTTTGGCATGACGCGGTCGGGGATCGAACCCGCGACCTTCCGCTCTCTGGGCGGACGCTCTAACCACTACACCACGGAGGCGGTCCGTAACGTTACGTCCTGTCGTTACTGTAGCGATTGATGGGATCGGGTTGTCAGGCTCGCTGTCTTGGTTGACATATGTCTGTTGCGTATACCAATGCACCTGCTGTTTATCACTGGATTGTCTCCTCCAGACACATTTTCACTGGTTGGTCAAAGGTACGGTTGCCATAGCCTTACGTGGCTTTCTATGATGGTGACCTCGGATGGTAGTCCAAACATGTATCAGCAGGAATGAAATAGAATTGCAAGTGACACTCTAAAAACAATGTTTGTACAATCAAGGCAGGTTTCTCTTGGGCTTTGTGGTTCATTCGCCAGGCCGAAACCGCCGGTTTGATTCAGCACACTGGTACAATTCGTGAAGCCCATTACTGATGACCCAGGTGTGATATTGTAGAATAGTACTAAGTGCGGCAAAAAACCCTATTCACTCTCTCACTCTAGGAAAGACAACTTATATATGCCTTGTTGTAAGTGTAGTCCTTGAGAAGTATGAGCTTGGACATTTCGAGAAAAATTCATATTTCACTCTCCATTTAAGAACCAAGAACCTGAATCCCGTTCGTTTGCACAACATTCAATGTACAGGCAGCTCCTGGAGCAGTGACGTGTGAGGTTGTAGTATAATGTCAGAATATACGCTGAATGTGACCCAGACAGTGAACGCCTGATGCATAAATACCACATTTTGTATGAAATATCATACAAAATTTGATACACTAGAGCATTATTCAGTAGTCGTGCAATTTCCAAAACAGGCCATATTTAAATGTCCCTGCTTGTTTTCATTGTGTAGATATACAATCTGTTTTCATTATGGTTGAGGCCATGTTCATCAATTTCAGACAAAGGGCGTGTTTACAGCCGACATTCCATGGGGCATGAAAGAAAATTCTTCACTATCATTGACGGGACTCACAACTCAGGGCAGGTATGAATTAGTCATATACACTACCCGAAGTTTGCTTAGGGTTACCAGTTTATAACGCAATTCGTCAAATTGTGTGACCAAGCCAACGTCTTCGCGTGACGCATGTCACTGGGTAACTGAAACTTGCGCCTGGCGTAGATTCCATACCGTTCTGATCACATATACACACTAGCAACGTTTGCACGGAAACGTTTTGTTGACCCAATTTCAAGTATACCAATGATATCTGCCTAATTTTTCAGTCGCCCTCCAACGTCTTTGACGTTAAGGAGGCGTAAAGTAGTTGCAATCCTCAGCTGCAAATGTTGTTGTTCTCTGATAACACAGGTTTTCAAGCACCTCATGAGCCACGAGTACACCAAGCTCTTAACTGCATGCCTCTGTCCATTCATCATAATATAACCCTATAAGAGTGATTCCAATCATATTGTTCCGGGAAATTCAAAACATATTTCTTTGATAATTTCTGATGTTATCAAAACTTTATCCTCAGCAAACTCTTGAGTAAAATAGATCTGTTCATACCATTAAATACCCAGTGGGTCTGGCATACACTGAACAGATAAGTGTACTTTTCACATTGACTGATTCGATGATGAATTGGTAAGGAATATAATTGCATTTACGTTTATATACCCTGGCAAAGCTTTTTAACCGACCGGCCCTGCCTTTCACTGTTTGTTGGAACTCGCAATGTTTAAGAGTAGCACCTTGAAGTCTCATATTTTCGATGCATGAATATTGCAAGGTTATGCATAGTTCATATTAAACGAAAAATCGTCGGCATTGATGAGAACCTGTCCACAAGAGAGAGACTCTGTACTGGGTGCATCACTTCACTAATCGATTAGTAAACTTTCATTTGACGTAGCACAAAACTTCAGAAGCTCCATTTACATATCTACATTTCACAATTGTCAAAGTATAAACCAGCATGGTATTATTACAAGATCACAAACAAGTTATCTCTTTCTAACAGAAACGGTGAGCATTTAAGCTTTAAAATGGAAGTTAAATTAGTAATATATGGACATTTCAAACTCCATGCAACGATGATCAATTCCCTGTTCAGATGTTTTGTTCGGCGGATATTTGACTTGGCTTGACATGTATTTTGATTTGCCAGTAGGCAGGATACGTCTCCTTTTAGCGGTCTTCGGAAATCCATGCTTGTCATTTGAGATGGCTTTGCCTGTCGTACTGGACGGCTAACGAGATGCCATATTAATATTCCAGCTAAATGACGGCGGTCTTTAAGTCTTCGAGTCTGGACCAGCCATTCCAGTGACTGGCATCATTAGCATTAATACTGTCTCATGCTTCCACCAAGTTAGCGAGCCGTGACCAGTCGATTCTGTTAAAGTTATTTCCCATTTACAGATTTACCATTGTTCTCGGAGATGCGAAACCGTCAAGTCCAGAAAATATCGAGCAGACATTTCTGTTTCACCTAGATGCACAGGTTTCAGAAACGAAGCTTAACTATTCTTTCCGTAAAGGGTCAATGGAAGATGTGCCGATGGAACAGTCTTGGAACACGAACACTTCTGTCCCGTTTCGTCTGGACATACATATAATGAAGGGCGATTTCGAGGTACGTATGCATGTCCAATATTGCTATGTTGCTTGGATTTCATTGTAGGTATGCATTTCCATTATTGCTAAGTTGCTTCGATTTCAAGGTACGTATGTATGTCCAATATTGCTATATTGCATAGATATCAAGGTACGTATGCATGTCTAATATTGCTATGTTGCTTCGATTTCAAGGTACGTATGCATGTCCAATTAAGTTGGTTCTTAAAAATGTCTCTTCCATGATACCATGACGATACTTCAGTAAGGAGCATTCGTCTAGAGACCTTAATCCTTGACCTTTGAAAATATTGTTTCATGTCATTTGAAACCTTTTACTGAGACCCAATACAAACTACGTAATTTTCATTTTGAAATTGTCAACATGGCTTTCTTAGTAGCCTTATTGAAAATAGGATTCAGTACTTTCTGACAATATACGATGCCACAAAGAAAGAACATGCAGGCAAATACATACTCTCTCACTTTCAGTCATGACATGTTGTTACTGAAGTTATAGATATTCATGTATCAGAATACAAAGCATTTATTTGGAATTATATGTTTCATTTGCAGTTTTGCATCATGAAAGGGAATATCCAACAGTGTACCAACCAAAAGAATATGATGAACGTGGCGGACGTAAAAGCGTTCTCAATATTTAAGGATTTTATGATTGAATCAATTGCCTTACACCTTGACTGAAATCAAAATGTGCCATGTACAGAGGAATGTGGTATTTGACAGACAGTCTGCGAAAATTATTTGTCATTTGTGGTTTATTTCTCATATCGGCACATAACAATCTTAAATGAATATGCTCATGTAAACCTTTCCATCCTCCATCCCCACTCATCCGAGAAGCTCGGTGCAAATCAATGTATAAATTATAGCATATTATCATATTCTTGAAATTAAGACCAAGTGTGATAATTTGTAAACAAGTACTTGATATTTATCACGCAAATGAATTTCGACGTGTTTGAATTCTTGCATAAAATACAACACCAGATAACGGCCCCTAAGCGTTCCGGTTTGGATCTTCGTCTTCAGGAACCCATGCTTGTCCTAAAAGGCGTCTAACGGCATTTTAACGAACTACCTGGCAGAGTAGAATCTGTCAACAGCCTCATACATTATTCTGTTATATTCTGATAAATTAAAATGCTGTTTTCCTGTGTCTATATGCGAGCGAGTGAGTTCAGTTTTACGCCGCACTCAGCAATATTCCAGCTATGTGGCAACGGTCTGTAAATAATCGAGTCTGGACCAGACAATCCAGTGATCAACAGCATGAGCATCGAAACCGATGACATGTGTCAACCAAGCCAGCGAGCCTGACCACTCGATCCCGTTAGTCGCCTCTTACGACAAGCATGGGTTACTGAAGGTTCATTCTAACACGGATCTTCACGGGTCGTCTATATACGAACAATAAGAACAATCCTATGTTTCAAATGGTGTCTGGATCTATGTTCATATGTCTGTGGTTGCCTGATTCAAATCCCTATTTTGACTTGTACTTGACCAGCCTTTGCGTGTGTTTGTGACGTTGGCACCAGTAAGACAAGATATGCACACCTCTTTGCGAACACCTTGTATGATTTGACAACGATTGATATGCAAAGGATTTACTTGGAATGTTAAGCCGATGCAGCGATTAGCAGAATGTGAAAAGAGTTTTTTTCCTTTGTTATTATTCGAATACTAATCAAATATTTAAACTCAATGTGCTTTACGATCGAGGGACAGTATAATCGCTTATCTTACCTTCAAAGACGCTTTAAATAGTTTCCGTGTCACCCCTCTCGGGGGTGACAACTGGAAGAAATGTTACCCTCTGCCACGGTAACCTCAAACCTCTCTCGTGAGAAGCTGTATCGTTAACTATCGTATGACGCCATGATATGAGTTCCAAAACGGTTCGATTAGCTGTTTTTGAGTTCACTAAAAATTTACCTTTATATAATCTAAAATTATTACTTGTTTTAGTCACGATATGGCTGAAATATTGCCGATGTGACTATAAATCTAAACTCAATCACTCACTCACAGAATTTAGATGTCTCAGACAAAGAATATACCATCTAATGTTTAAATCTGCTGTTATATTGAGACAACATGCAGGCCATTTGAAACTCATTTCGGGTTTCTTCCGGATGTAGTGTAATGAATTAATATGAACAGAAATTCAGCGATATTAAATGAGGTTGGTTGATTTTATACAAACCTGAAAATCGGTAGCTGTTTACATGAGGAGGAGCATGCAAGTGGTCTTGTCATATAAGCAGTATAGTTGAAACAACCTTATTTAGATTTGGGATAGGTTACAATTTACCGGAAAATAGACAGGAGAAATTGAAATTGGAAGCAGCTAAAACAGGTATTATCATCACATTTCAAGTTTGCAAGAACGTAGAACTAAACGGACACGAAAACTGACTGTTTTTAGTAAAACATATTACAATATTTCACTTAAATGGCAATTTACTAATTAAGATTGCTTTCAAGTGAACATACACCTAAGAAACTTATAAAAATTCCCCCGCCTGATACAAACGCCCTATGAAGCTCTTTTCCCCTCCCATCTTCTATATGGATGTGGAACGACATACCTTTAATTAAAAAGAAAATGTAGGAATACTTATAATTCAAAATCGTCCCAAAGCTCCATCGGATTTCTCTTTTTAACAGTGCATACATATCATTATACAATAGACCCGTGAAGATCCGGGACAGAATTGATCTTCAGCAACCCATGCTTGCCACAAAAGGCGACTATGCTTGTCGTAAGAGGCGACTAACGGGATCGGGTGGTCAGGCTCGCTGACTTGGTTGACACATGTCATCGGTTCCCAGATGCTCATGCTGTTGATCACTGGATTGTCTGGTCCAGACTCGATTATTTACAGACTGCCGCCATATAGCTGGAATATTGCTGAGTGCGGCGTAAAACTAAACTCACTCACTCACTCATTATACAATAAAATAACACAATGAGCTGATTAATATGTTATGTGGCAGTGTTTTTGGTTGTGTAATGTTCCAAGTGTTAATACATTGTACGCTTAGATGTAGTTTTGTATGTAAGGGAAGCTAAGTCTTGCCTCTCGTCTCCCATCGCAAGTTACAGGAAGAATGGATTTGTGTGTGATGACCATCATACCTTCCCGAACTTGGATTACAGATGCGGAGAGGTGAAGATTACCACCAATGCCTTTATTGACTTTTAATTTGTACCTACACTCTGTTCTGTACTGACATTTTGTACTTCCATAGTTTTGTACTTCCAACCAGGTCACCTTTGTAATGATGTGAAGCTAGTCAGCCGGTGTACGATGGTGAATTACATCTGATTTCTTGGCTATTTGCTGGTTTCTCACCCAGTTCTTTTACGGACCGATTCCCGGTTAAGCTTCCAGTTTCATCTTGGGAATCAACACGTGGGATATAGAAGACAAAGTTTAGTCTGTTAAATTATGATTTAATAGACAAGGAATGAAAGCTATATGTTTGCTACATGAGGTGAGGTGAGGTGAGGTGAGATTGGGTTTTACGTCGTGCTTGAGAATATTTCGCTCATATGACGACGTGCATGCGTGTGTATGTGTATGTGAGGCTGCTTGTACTAGCCAAGACTTAAGCTGGTGTTTAGTGCTAGCCCACTGAGATACCATGCCGCAGTTAAGCATGAATACCCCACTCAGACACATACTGACTCCGAGCTGACAAGTTCTTGTTGTACCCATTAATGCCGAGCGCCAGGCAGGGACCAACAAGTACCATATTTTAACGTGTTTTTGTATGACGCGATCGGGGATCGAACCCGCGACCTTCCGCTCTCCGGGCGGACGCTCTAACCACTACACCACGGAGGCGGTTGTTTGCTACATGAAAGTTTGTATGTGAGTAAAGGAGCAAATGCATAAAATATTTTCTTTGAAGGTAATTTGGGAAATCTTGAAACCCGTCACTTAGAAATGTAAGTTGTATTGTCGAAAATGCACCAATTGATCTCACTTTGATATTAAATGGGAGCTTACCAGAGCAGGATAACATAGTAATGTTCAACAAAGTACTTATATATGTCTAATACAAAGAGATTTATGTAAACTGTATAGTTGCTGTTCGTTTACCTTTCCTATCCTTTCTATTTATTATTAATACAAACTGTAATTCAGTTGATATGTTATCTGTGTGAAGTTATTGTACCGATTCTCATCCACGTTTTCTGAATAAAATATGTTTAAAGCAAAACAACTCACTTTCAAAAATGTATTTATGCATATTGTTCTGTCTTAATGTTGTCTTATATGCAATGATGAATCCGATTAAATAATAAGAGAAAAGTAAAGGGAAAAAATCAATGACTACTTCATTCCATTGACTTCTCGCAGACAAATCCCTGGTTCCAACTACAAGGGACATCGTCCAAGCAGTACCCCTCGCGTGCCCACATGCTGCCGCAGTCAGTTCCATTAGGCTCGTCTTCACACCATTTCACTTTACTCATCGCAGTGCCATCCGTCCACTTGAAATCCCCGTGTGTTCTCAAGGCACCTACGAAGTAGTTCTGGGGCTTACCTATATTGAAAGTTTTAAGATTTGTCAACAAAGGATTACTGCTGAAAGTGAATGAGTTTGGTTGACGTTTTTTTGAACGGTAATCAAATATATCGCAGTGTGCCAGTTTAATGTTACCCGTGGCTCAGGTTTCAGATCTTTACAAAGTGGCAGGTTCAGCTTATTCCTGAACTGATCCATATCACCGACGTGATGCTCCATTTGTTACCAGGTCACAGCGAATGTGTTCATATTTAAGGTCACATCGGCGCTATAAATGACACATATATACCTCTCATCAAGAGTTTAGAATCACTAATGTTAATATAGCCACTTACTCGGACCTCAGGCAACTGTTCTAAACTAAATTTGCAAAATATTCCATACTGTCTAAAGGTACTGTTTACACATGAACGGATATATTGTAAAACAAATTCGTAACGTTGAAAACATTATTGTCATGAGTTCAGTAAATGATGAAATCAGTGAAAATTGGCGAATTCTTAACAAAACTTTACACCACAAAGCAGCTGTTCACAAGCACGATATTTTCACATGCACATACAATTTGATGCATGATCCTCGTGCAATTCAGCTGCATAAAGTTTGCAGTTGGTTCCCGCAAGTTAAGAAATTAATCTTCGATGTAACCATGTATATATCCATTACATATAGTGAGTCTAAAGAGAAGTATACAATAAACACAGGTTGTGTTTTAATCGCCTATGTTACCATGGAACAGATTGGTGAGTTTATTTTTATGTCGTTTTAGCAATATTCCAATAATACCATAGCGGGGAATTATTTCGTTTCTACTGCATGAAACGAGATTCAACACTGTTTTACTCTGAGTTACATGCGAGCTTGAATTATTTCGTATCTACTGAATGAAATGAGCTTCAACACTATTTACTCTGATAGCCATCTTAATAAAACTCACTCCAAACCTGGCTTCGTTTAACTGACTGAAGATTTAACGTCATCAACGAAATACACAATTTACTGAAAATTGGGATTGCATGTGGAGAATCGAACCAGTAATGACAACTGAAGCTTAATCCAGCTTGCTACCTTTACCATGCATTCTTCAATGCATGCTACAAGATGTTTTGAATACAGTACCAGGAAAACAGGAAGCAAAAATAACCTTTTCCATCTACAATGGTTTTGTAGACAGCCTGGCGTTTCTCGTCCGTGTCGAAGATGGCTAGTCTTCCTCCTGGGACCTCAGTGGCACACACCGACTGAGCAATCGCCCACTTCAGTTTGTCGTCGGCATGAATCTTGTAGCAGAAGTTGAGGTCTTTATTCCAATTGTAGTCTTTAGGACAACCAACCGCCTCTGCAATAGTGAGGTAAGGCGTTATGGTATTACGGTTAAAGGTGGAGGCAAACCAAATCAAATACATTCGAATATATAACATAGCAACACAGACCTTCAACATACCAGAAGTGAGTGAGTGAGTGTATTTAATTTTACGCCGCTTTTAGCAATGTTCTAGCAATATCACGGAGAAGACACCATTAGGCTTCCCGGAATGTGTAAGAAGTGGTTTGAATGTCATATGGCCTATGTTTAATATTACATGTTTCATTGGTGTGTTAAATGAAAATTGAAATTATTTCATGCCATCCATCTAGCTGCTGTTGTTGATTTGTACCCATGTGAGGAATCGAAACCGGGTTTCTGGCGTGACAAGAGAATGCTTTAACCACTAGGCTACCCCGCCGCCCCTCAACATTCCAGGAATCACAAATAACAAATAGAATTCGTTTCCACAACTAAAGGAAACCTGCAGCTGGTGAACTCTGCAGCACCACAGTGAGTGAGTGAGTTAATATTTAGCGCCACATCGGCCATATTTCAGTCATATCATGACGAGAACAATTTATCGATCTATTAAACATAAATGCTTTAGAAAAAAACCTTCGTCGGTGGACAGTAAAACTACAAGGGTATCACAGATATAAAGTTAAAAAGATATCATTAAAATGAACGAACAATACAATGTATAAACAGGCTATAGATCACCAACAACTGAAGATAGATCACAATACCATGGTGACAGTGCTTTTACTACCTGCATTTACACCATCTCTTTAAATGTTGGCGATTATGACAAATTTAGCAGCACCACAGACACAGCTTCAAACACTGTGGCAGTGTGCGAAATAGCCACTGGCCCGCAGGCTAGTAAAACTCCAGTTGGGCCAGCAATTCTTCACAGTGAACTTTCATGGGCTCATATTGTAAATATACCACTCTCTCCGACTTGTTAAGTTAGAATACACTTTTAAGTCATGCAAGATTATGGCCCGATAAATCATTCATCATACTAGCAACTCAATCTAGTGAATTATTTGTGGGCAAGTGACTTTCAGGCATAACTAACCCGACTGGCTAGCAAAATGTGGAAAATATTTCGCACACTGCACTGTGGACGTAAAAGTATAATCTTTGAAATAAATAAATACGGAGCTTTTGACACACGCATATTGACGGTTATCAAGACGTGTATGGTTTTAAATCATGATGAAGCAAGGAAAATCACCTTAGTCTCAGACTATTTCCCTCGGTAGTAAATCAAAAGGCGAACAATACATACAGTCAGTGTTCTCAAAAGTTATCAGTGTGCGAAGTAACCACTGGCCCGCTAGCCCGTTTCTAGTAAAAATCCAGTCGGGCTAGTAATTCTCCACAGTCACTGGCCCGACTTGCTAGTGAATGTTCATGGGCTCATATTGTAAATATATCACTCTCTCCGACTTGTTAAGTTATAATACACTTTTAAGTCATGCAAGATTATGGCTTGATAAAAATTTCATCATATTAGCGACTCAATGATGAAACCCGTGCTGACATTATCTTATTCTCATTTATTTTTGTAATCTTTCGGTATAGCTATATAGTGACTTATTTTGTGGGCTAGTAACTTTCAGGCATAACTAGTCCGACTGGCTAGCAAAATGTGGAAACTATTTCGCACACTGATAATGATGTTCATCCTATTAGCAGCTTAATGATGAAACCCATGTCATGCTGATAATATCTTATTCTCATCTATTTTGGTTTATCTTCTGCGTAGTTTATACATTCAAATTTCGCTCTAGTGACTTATTTTGTGGGCAAGTAACTTTCAGGCATAGCTAGCCCGACTGGCTAGCAAAAACTAGTTTGAGTTTTCTTATTGTATTGGGTACATAAATATAACCGACAATATCATTTCAATAATCATAACAACAATGTGTCTAAAGCTCTGTGTGGGAACAGGTAGCATCCATCACAAACACACGCAGAGGCATGTAAAGACTACATTAGGTGACATATGACATAAGTGGAAATATGGCATTGTATTGGATATCACAATAATGGACGGGCACTGAAAGCCACTATCATGTTTTTCGAAAGCTTCACTGCAGCCTCGAATGTTGCACTTCTAATCTAACTCATGTCCTCTTAAGTTTTTAGCGAGTTTGTCACAAGAAGTGAGTTGGTCAACGTGTATCACCGAACTGGTATGTTTCATCCCTTCAGTACACGCATATTACCAACAGTAAAACAGTTGTTAGAGATGAAAACATCACATGCTTTTTTAGACATATGTTCAGATCGTGGAATAAACAGCTCATAAATCGGTTCAAAGGATATAAGAAACGTTGAGTTGAATTGCAAAAATTGAATCCAAATGTCAACTTTGTCTTCATTAACAGATTTTAGAATTCACATTTCTATAATGCATATATGTATGATTCCTATTGCATTTTAAGACTTAAGACATGTTGATATTGTTCACACTATGATGAGTGATAGGTATCACGTACCTGAGGGGTGTTTTTCATCTTGAATGCCATGACAACTAGTGGAGCACGTCTTCTGCAGTTTCGACACTAGATCTTCCAGCTTAAGCAATCGTTCCTCAAGGTTCTCGTTGTTTGGGGCCCCGAAATCCTCAGGAAATTCAACCAAAGTCATATCACCATCGTCGTCGTCATCACTCTCAGGAATCGCTAGCTGATCTTCGTTTGCTGTGTAATCCTCTTGGCAAGATACAGGCCAGGCGAAGAAGAGAAAGAATATCAGCCTGTACATTTTCATGGAATGGATGCTCTCAGTAAACCAACACGTCAACCTCAGTTGCTGTAATGGTCGGGAAGGAAAGTTCCCATGGGTAGACTGCAGCCAGTTGTATTACCGAGTTCGAATGTAAACAATGAGTTTGGGTATGATATTAATACCTTTCACTTGTTGTTTATGCTTTTTGTCAATACATTGTTGTGTGGCTTGTGAACCCAGTCAAACACGGACCTGCTTGGAACCAGTACGTACATTCATATCTTTCCATCAAAAGTTTAAATAGATCTATTATAAAACTGTTGGTTGTTTGTACCAATGATTGTTTTTACACCATTTGTAATCAGATACCATTGTATATTTCCTATTTGTTATAACTAGGGTTGTTAAGTCGTGGTAAGCGGTTGAGTTGTAAGTGTGTCAACATACTGATAAACACAGGATATGGTAGAAATGGTGAACTGACTTTCCTTATTATTTCTTTTGAATATGGAAAGGATTTTGTTTCTTTATTAATATTATATTTATATATAAACATCCACAGCAAAATGGGCGCGAGTGAACCTGGCACAGCTAGGCTGGTTAGGCCCATCATCACCCTTTACAGACAGCGAATGGGACTTCTCTCAGGAAGCACTGCCTAGTCGAACCCGCCAAGAACGTTCCCTGTAATGTGAATCTCTCTAACACTGCAGCCGTCTCCATTACCCAGGGCTGTAGTCCTGGCAGCAAAGCCGGGTACGTATCTACTTTCAGTCAAGAGATTTGGAGGTACCAAGAACAATGGGGAGTCAGAAAACCTGCATTGGCATTTTTATAGCTGTCATGTTCCTTGTCGCCCCTATATATTTTGGATCGTGCCATGGTAACAACAATGGCTAAGACGGCAATACAACACCATCGTGTCGCTGCTTTTGTTGTTACTGTGCAGGTAAACATGACCCACTGTTCGATAGTATCGGGCGGTATATATGTCACCAAATAATGTGCCAGAGAAATGCAGCAATATTAAGTCCGCATGTTTTGATCACTGGATCAATATGTATCATCCAATACTGGTTTCCCGAGGAGATGTCGCTTGTAGTAGATTAAGCGATATCTCCTAGCAGATATCGTTTTGGTAAGTTTTGAGGTAATGCTGATTGATCAATATTTTCGGACTACTTTCATCTCTCTTAGCTGTAAACAGAGATGGCCACATTTGTATTTTTGTTCATGATATGTTCTAACGACATAAAGGTTCATTGAAAATGCCACGAAGAAATGGTGAAACTTATGCATTGCATAATTTATAACAATAAATGTTAGCACTATTTGTTAGTGCTTGTTTTTTATGACGTAATGGTGTCACTCGTTCCCTCACTCTTGTTCACTCGGATGTATTCATACGCAAGTTTTCAAATGAACTTATCACAGGTGACGTTTAGTTTCTAATTTCTTTGGAAGGACAAATTAAGTATGATACTGGATGATAAATAGAATCTCCCCTTCGTGTCGTTTGATATAAAATATATCACTACACGTTGATGACTAGTTATGATATCTTTAATATCAAAAGTCACTCGGCCGAGATTCTCTATATACCACACAAACATGGGAGCTAGCATACTTTTACTTAAATGATCATCAAATCCATACGTCTTATTATAGTTTGAAACTTGACATTGGTCGTCCGTTTATATAAAACCCTTAATGAGTGAGTGAGTGAGTGAGTGAATTAATATTTAACGTCACATCGGCAATATCTCAGCCATATAGTGACGAAACCAATTTATACAATTAAAAATAGAAACATTTTGGAGAGTAAAACTTGTCGACGATGGACAGTAAAAATACTAGAATATCACATATATGAACATAAAAGTAGCCTGTCAAACTAAAAGATTTTAATTACAGAAGACAATACAATATAAAACACGGGCTGTAGATCGCCAACAACTGAAGGTAGATCACCATACTAGGAACCATATGGACTTACATTATTTTTGCTACCTGCATTGACCCTAGCTGGAAAACCCTTAATGAGGTGAATGGTGGTCATGTATGACTCTGTAGTAAAAAATGAAGTTTACACGGATTTTACGCGTGATGCAAAAAAATGTGCAGTAAAATTTCTTTTCCACTTGCAAGGGTAGCTTTATTCTCCTTGATACAAAAATGAAAACATCAGATATAGAGTTGGGCACGTCCTTAAGGTTATGTACTTTCCTGGTATGCTATCTGCCAATGCCATCTCGGTGATTTGATGTGTACCTGCTGTGTGAAATCAGACCTCCCCTTTTGACATCAACCAATGCCATCTCTGTGATTTGATGTGAACGTTGTGGTTTGTCATCTGCCAATACCATCTCGGTGATTTGATGTGTACCTGCTGTGAGAAATCAGACCTCCCCTTTTGACATCAACCAATGCCATCTCTGTGATTTGATGTGAACGTTGTGGTTTGTCATCTGCCAATACCATCTCGGTGATTTGATGTGTACGTGCTGTGAGAAATCAGACCTCCCCTTTTGACATCAACCAATGCCATGTTGGTGATCTGATGTGAACGTTGTGGTTTGTCATCTGCCAATGCCATCTCGGTGTTTTGATGTGTACCTGCTGTGAGAAATCAGACCTCCCCTTTTGACATCAACCAATGCCATGTTGGTGAACATTGTGGTTTGTCATCTGCCAATGCCATCTCGGTGATTTGATGTGTACCTGCTGTGAGAAATCAGACCTCCCCTTTTGACACCAACCAATGCCATGTTGGTGATTTGATGTGTACGTGCTGTGAGAAATCAGACCTCACCTTTTGACATCAATCAATGCCATGTTGGTGATCTGATGTGAACGTTGTGGTTTGTCATCTGCCAATGTCATATCGGTGTTTTGATGTGTACCGGTTGTAGAATTTTAGCTGAGTTGTGTTGAGTAAGTCGCGTTCTGACTATGTTGATTCACGTTGTCTTGCTCATATGACAATTCGTGGGAACTGTAATAGTGGGAAACGTTTCATGGGTAGCTAGTTCAGGATTGTAAACAGCCATACCTCCAAGTATATACATTACAAAGTTTGTGCCGATGCATAACTGTTAAAGTAACAAAGAAACTTTCTTGGTATTTGGGAATTTCGTAAATCATCAGTCATATTAACGAATTGTAAATGTTCAGTGTAATCTACACATGTATCAACTCGAAGATAAATATGACTTAGTGCTACTAGAAGCCGCTAGTTTTGAAACAGAAATTGAATATATTTATTCCCACACTACCTGACAACACATGACTTTACAAGACACGAGGGGTAGTGGGGTAACCTGTTGGTTTATACGTGGTCGTCACGCCGGGTTCGATTCCTCACATGGGCACAATGTGTGAATACCATTTCTGGTGTCACCCATCGTGATATTGCTGGAATATTACTAAATCTCACTCACACTCACAAAGACATGCAATTAATCTTGATCGCATCATTGTTTACGGGTTTTCAATTGAAACATTCTGTACATTCAATATCTCCACTTAAAAGAAGACATTCACCAAGGTGTTGCATCTCTAGACGCTATTGCGTTCAAAAATACAAATGTTCAAACCTTTCTGTTAATCAGCTGGACTATTTATTCTTGGTACATACTAACAAAGATATGGCGAACTCGACTTGATTGTGACCGGTGTTGGTGACTGTACTGTCACTCGTTTGTCTGTTTTAGAGAGTTGTGTTTTGACCTCTCTGAAGCGTTACTTAACAGCATGCCAGACAGACATGCGATATAAATCATATTTGCGTCCTCGTCGATGCCGCCTCCTCACCAGTTGCCTAACATACAATCGACGTTGTTGGCTGAACACTCAGAATACCGGATAATGAAGTAGCATCATAAAAACACAACAAGCGAAAGTCATTGACGTTCATTAATCGACGCCCAAGTCAACGTGCAAGTGTATACTACTGTTCTGTGAACATATCAGATACACTTGACTAAACACACTATCTCTTGGTTGCCGTTCAACGATAATGACTGTTAAAAAAATGTGTTTCTCAAAACATATGTATTCCTGAAACGTTTTGCCAAATTAATGTATCTGGCCAATGTTAATGATGCATCAAATGCATACAATGCACTTAGCCAATCTACAACTGGAGACAAATGTTACCTCCTATTGTATACGAAAATCAGCCATCTTAATCATGTTGACGATTTTAGGTTTTCAATAAGCAAATATATTACAAGCATGGAAAAATCGATCATCAAAGAAAGGTATAGACGTCCATTCTAAGCTATTGGTTGCAATGCATTGCCATCGATTTCTCTTACGCCATTACGTCCATGACAGGGGTTGGTAGATGGCGGTGCTGAATGATCTCTCGAACGAATACATCCATCATGGACAAGATCACCTGGTGGCTTCTTATCGACTTCCTAGTCATAATTTCGATCAACTATGGCGTGGCATCGGGTAGGATATTATCCTCTCTTTCTTTTAAGCTGTATCATATTAATGTTACAATTTTCGATTCTCGATGTGTGAAGCCCGCTCCTGGTGTCCCCTGCCATGATGTTGCTGGAATATCGCTAAAAGCGGCGTAAAACCATACACACTCAGTTAGTGTATACAGTATGTTTAGGGGCGGTGAGGTAGCCTAGTGTTTAAAGCGTTCGCTCGTCACGCCGAAGGCCCGGGTTCGATTCCCCACATGGGTACAATTTGTGAAGCCCATTTCTGGTGTCCCCCGCCGTGATATTGCTGGAATATTGCTAAAACGGCGTAAAACCATACTCAGTCAGTCAGTCAGTCAGTCTGTTTAGACATATGCTATTTGTGTAGCTTCATTATAATAGATACATGCCAATCCTCATAGACCCGTGAAGGTCCGGGTTAGAATTAATCTTCAGTACCCATGCTTGTCGTAAGAGGCGACTAACGGGATCGGGTGGTCAGGCTCGCTGACTGGGTTGACACATGTCATCGTATCCCAATTGCGTAGATCGATGTTCATGCTGTTGATCCCTGGATTGTCTGGTCCAGACTCGATTATTTACAGATCGCCTCCATTAAGCTGGAATATTGCTGAGTGCGGCGTAAGACTAAACTCACTCAATCCTCATACCTATTGCAGTATGTATGTATTTGTATTTTTGTTTATTAACAAACCCTTTCTAAAGTCATCTATATATACATATGGATGAGTGCCTAACAAAGTTTGTGATTTTCAGATCAATATATATATATTGTGAAAAACATATCAATATATTTATTCAATTTGCGTTGTATATCCTCCTGACCATTATTTAAGAAATGCAGTCCGCACTCGTACTTTAACTATAATAGTTCAGGGCAAAAGTGTGCTTTATTACACTATACATGGTGGTAGAGCGAACTGTATTTCTTTTCTAAGATGCCAAATTTAATACTTGCTAAGGATAATTACGATTAATTTAAGGCAGAAAGCAAACGACGGTGTCGGTGACCTAAATTAAGAACCCTCGCACAGGGCTAACTGGCGAGCTGTTCTATTGGTGTGTCTGATGTGTACCTCACCAGTGCAACTGTCTAATATGTTTCATACTTTTTAAGGCCCGTAAGTAGGTCACGGCACTTCAAGAGACCTTAGCGATTCCGGTGACAAACAACGTTTCATACCTTTTCGAATGGTCCCACGGTTGTCAGATGACATTAGGGAACCCATAGTCCTTGCAGGAATAACAAATTTCCGATCTAACCATCCCCAAATTAACCACCTATTACCGCTGTCAACAGCTATGACAGCCAAGCATGGTTGTACACTTGGTTCGGTCAAGTAAAGTCATATTTGGCGGTTGCGCAATTTGGAACCAGAACTGGTTCTCGAATATACGCTTGTCATCAGAAATCTGGTACCGGAACTAAGCTGGGCCCCGTCTTGCATATCGCAAGTTTACCCGCGCGAAGGGAGCAGGGAACCAGCTTAATACCGGAAGTAGCGAATACAGGCCCTATTCTGTGGACAAGAGTGGCGGAGACAGCGAATTCAACAAAAGGGATTTTAAACTAGTCGACTCTCCCTCATTGTCTTGCAATATTCCAGGGGGCCCAGCCCCAGTTGTTAAATCGGGGCACAGAATTCAAGGCCTTAGTAAACCTTTCGATGCGTTTTGTCGGACATGGTGCAGCTAGGGTACATGCAGGTAGCAAAAGTATTGTCTCCCATGGTCCCCAGTATGGTGATCAACCTTCAGTTGCTGGCGATACTCAGCCCGTTTTTATATTGTATTATTCTGATTGAAATCCAGATTTAGAGCTAGGTGCTAGTTTTGATGCTTGTTTCTGTGATATTCTAGTTGGTTTTACTGTCATTCGTCAACAGGTTTAAGTATGATTTTCATGAATTTATAACTAGTTTAATAACGAAATGGCTGTAATGTTGCCGATGTGAGTATAAACTTTAATTCACTCACTTGTCAGACATGGGGAGGACGGTTAAGACAGTGTAATACTGGGGAACCCCGTACTTGTCTTTGGGAACGATTTAGTCACTTTCCACCCTATAACTAACTTTCAATTGTCTTAAAGATCTATACAACATATTATTGAACAAAGCTCACTTGTTCATTTAAAGGAGCGAAGCTATTCAAACTTTTGGGGGGGGGGGGTATAGGGAGAGGGGTGATACTTTTGCTCTCTTAAGTTCATAAAGGTTTGCAAGTCACTAGTTTGAGAGACAGACAGATTTCATTCGTGTAATTCAGTCTCCAGCTGAGTGAGAGAATATGGTCGCCGCATATTAGCAATATTCCCACAACGGGGACACCAGAAAATAGCTTCACACATTGTACACATGTGGGGAATCGAACCTGGGTCTTCAGCGTGATGAACGAACGTTTTAACTACTGGACTTCCCCACCACCCGAGCCTATAGCGTATCCAGTTATAGTATGAGCAGAAATTATTGAGAATTTTAGGAATATGTTTAATTGGATTTCTAGTATAAACAACCTTGACCAGCTATCAAGTGCTTGGTTTCATTCAAGAGAGACAACTCCGTTAATCCTTTTTCATTAGTTTGTGAAGAGTTACCCCTTTGTTAACTTGCTAGCAGACGACATTTTCAGTGATCCTCAGTATGGATGATTTAGAGAAGAGGAAGTTGATTTTAGAGTATTATAACAAGGACATCAGATCAGCTAAAGTGATTTCAAGTCGAACAGGCATCCCTTTGTCCACTGTTCATCGTGTTTTGAAAACTATTGCAAATGGATATGGCATTGAGCACCAGGGAGACGCAGGTAGGCCCAGAAAATTGACTGTCGGTGACAGAAGGTGGCTTGGTATTCTTGTTTCTAAAAACAAACGAAGGAGTTTAGAAAACTTAAGGCTGGATATGATTGATAGAGGAACTGTGGCTGTCTATAAGGAGACAATTAGAACTGAGCTGCATGCAATGGGTTGGCAGAAATGTCGAGGAATTCCATCACCGATCATGAAACGTGAACAAAAGGAGCGAAGGTTGAACTGTTGCTTACAGCATAGATATTTTAACTGGGACAATGTGATTTTCTCAGATGAAAGTTCTGTGTGGCTCTTTCCTAATACACTGAAATTTTAGACCAAACAAACTGAAAAACCTTTGTATCAGCGCCCAAAGTACAGTCCGAAATTTAACGTGTGGGGTGGCATATCTGGGTTAGGGGCAGCGCCCCTCTGTGTATTTGAAGGGAATATGAACATTGAGCGGTACACAGATATTCTCGAGGGACATTTACTTCCATCTGCTCACGTGTTCTATTGAAATTTGTGGATTTTCCAGCAGGACAACGACCCAAAACATCGTTCAAAGCATTTACAGGCCTGGTTTCAGACCCAAAACATGACATTATTAGATTGGCCAAGCTATAGACCAGACCTAAATTCAATAGAAAATGTTTGGGGACTTTTGAAGGAAAGTGTCAATAAGAAAAATCTTACAAATGTTGCTGAAATGAAAGAAGAGGTGGTCCGATATTGGGACAGCATGGACCACGAGTTTCTAACTTCTTTGATCAGTAGTATGCACCCGCCGCATTGAAGCCTGCATTGCTGCCCATGGTGACTTGACAAAACACTAAATGTTCACCTGTCTTTGAATCTGGAGTTATGTTCTGCTAATATTCACATTAATACGTGAGTAATGAGTGAAAAAATTTAAAAAATTACAATCTTTAAATTCTCAATAATTTCTGGCTGTACTGTATAGATTGATATATACGTGCAGTCAGAATTAATGAATCATAAATAGTTATATTGACTCATAGATCCATGACTTAACATGGGCTCCTCATAAATTGGGATATCTGCTACACTCCATTGCTAGGCGAAAGTTATTGGATCTAAATTTTAAAAGTAGTGTTCAAACCGAAACATGAGCCTCATTATCCTATTCAGACACGCCGAAGGCCCGGGTTCGATGCCCCACATGGGCACAATGTGTTAAGCCCATTTCTGGTGTCCCCCGCCGTGATATTGCTGTAATATTGCTAAAAGCGGCGTAAAACTAAACTCAGTCAGTCAGTCCTATTCAGACGACCTACTTTGCAGCCGATCCGAATTTTCTCGTGTGAAAGTGAAAAGAGACACCACAAACAACTATGGTTACACTGAATTCCAATTCCTTGTTTCGGAAGAAAATGGTATTTACAAGTTAATTTTAATTTTAAACTTTAATAAGATCGTATTTCTATATTTTATGGCGAGGTGTAGGCAGCATGACTAAGACGTCACAGACTGCCCCTGTTTGATGAGGTCGTACAATGATTCACAATTCATCTGGCTCACTGGTTACACCTGCTATGTGTTCTTTGCTTATTCAATGTAGTTTTGTAACGCACAATGTGATTGATATAATATCAAGTCCGTACCAGACCGCCAAACCTTTCTAGCGGCAGAGCCTCGTTTTGTGATTTCCACGATTTCCAGATTTCCGTCTGTCAGAGCACAATGCACGATGTGTTTGTAAGGATTAGAAGGAGCGTAGTGTTGCAATATACAAGTGCTTAGATGTATCAAATTATACTGATTAATATTTATGTATCCAGTTGAATGAATTGGTCTGAAACTTCTGGACTGGTTATTGTACTATGTTGCGCAATAGGACGGAACCCAGTTAACAGGAAACGAGACTGTTGTGTAATCAATGTTTTGACTTGTATAGTAGAAGTAAGTAAGTGAGTTTATTTTTACGTCGGTTTGAGCAATATCCCAGCTATACTATGGCGGGGGATACAAGAAAAAGGCTTCACACATTGAACCGATGTCGGGAATCGAACCCGGGTCGTCGTCGTGACGAGCGAACGCTTTAACTACTAGGCTACCCCGCCGCCCCTTTTTAGTAGAAAGAATGTCTAAAGAGAGATAATCTTGACCATTTAGTAATGATTTCTATGAAGAATAGACTTGTTTAAACAAAGCTTAATCATTCTTCATATTTTGAAATGATGGAGAAT